TTTTATTAATTATAAATAATTTTATTTTTAATATATATATATATATATATATATATATATATATTTGTATATATATGTGAATTTATATGTATATATTAATTTAAATACATGTAAATGAATATTTGGATATTTAATAATATTTTTGAATGTTGAGTCAACAGTTTTTTGTTGAGTCAACAGTTTTTTGGTGAATCAGCAGTTGCGTTTGTTTAATTTGGAAAAAATTTAAAAGTTTGGGTATTTATATGAGAGTTTTGAAAAGTTCAGGTATTTATAGGATAATTTTATAGTTCGAGTATTTATTTGTGATTTTTGTAAAAATTCAGATATTTTTATGCGGATTAACGCTGTGTATAAAGACATATTCAAAGGTTCAATCTGAAATTCGGTCACCATACAAAAGACCCATCACAAACTGTATTGGACCAGGAAAACTATACGCATTAATTATCCGACAAATAAAAACTGCATATTTATTCAAAAGAACAAAGATTCACAGTTGCAGTGTCCAAAGATGATGAATTCATCTCTGTAACAAGAATCGAACCTTAGACTTCATGTCCTAATTACACAAACCATGGCTGTTATTTATTCTTATCAACTCTCTAACATCTCGGAAACAAAGGCCTCACAAGACACTTACAAGCCATGGCCGTCTTTCTCATTATTGGTCGAGTCCATTTTCCACCTCTTTAAGCATTTGGCAAAGCTTCTTGGCCTCGGTCAGAATGCAGTCCCGATCAAACAAGGCCGATACTACCGCTACTCCTTTCAGGTTAGGGGCACGGACCTGCATTACATCCCGGGCATTTGAAACCCCGATGCCTCCTATCGCAACAACGGGTAACTTTGACGCCATACACACGGTTTTCAGTCCATCCAGTCCTATGGTTAGGTTGTTCTGCTTGGTGTTTGTTGGATAAACACCTCCACTGCCAATGTAGTCGGCACCGTCTTTCCATGCTTGATAGGCTTGTTCTGGTGTCTTGCACGATACCCCGATAATCTTTTCGGGGCCAAGAAGAGATCGAACCACATCAGCAGGAACTCCGTCAGCATCACAAGCAAGGGCGACATCAATCCTGTCATTGATCAGCAAAGAAACTCCACTAGACCGACATATCTGAAGACATGATCTCGCAACTTCAAGAAATTCCCGCGTTTCAACCTCCTTCTCCCTGCAAACAGCACAAAGATATAAGACGATGATTCCAAGACACGGGTGGGTTTAGAGAACAACTGTTCTCGTTCCGCTAAATCATTTTCAAATTTTCTTTCACGAAAAAGTATTCAAATACAGCAAACAATGACGAACCTTAGTTGTATGATTGTCGCACCTCCTTCTATAGCAGCCTTAACTGCATCCACCATGGACCGACCCCACTTTTTGTTCATTCTAGAATCTGTAACAGCATACAGAAACAAGCTATCCGGATTGAATTTTCTGCAAGGAGAACTTTTGTGGTTCCTCTTAAGATTTAGAAAATGGTCAAAGGGTCCTTGCATTCCACTGCCAATGACGACATCTTTGCTGTAATCTAGAGCAGTCTCGACGTAGTGTTTAGCCACCTGAAAACAGACGACGAAAAAATTTAGGCTTATCGTTTTTATCCAGAATATTTAATGTTCTCTCTTCAAGAAACCGTGTTTTCATTCCACCAACGAAGAATCAGCACGCCCGAATCAATGAAACAAGTGAGACTTTATTTGCCGTTCTAGAAAATTGTTCATACATCATGTGTTATCAATGGCGTATGGCGGTCCATGGCGTTAAGCTGAAAATAGGCCATAGAATTTATGGCGGATATGGCGGACGCCATGGCGTATTATGGCGGAAATCACGACGGGTTAAAAAATATAGTGTATTTGTAATAATAATACAAAATCATTATCATCTTTAACATAAAATTAAAACAACTATAATAAATTATCAATCTATATATCATAAAAAGACAATATTATGAAGGAAGTTGATCCGATTCAACTTCATATAAACATAAAAAGAAAAAATTAATCCCCATTGAAAAGTTTGAACGAAATAAAATTCTATTTAAAAGAAGAAAAAAATTTAAACAAAAAAGTAACACTTTAAAAATGTGTCCTTTTAATATATGTGAATGTATGATACATGGGGCAAAGCACTTGAAGGAATTTTCTGGCAAACTAAGAGTACACACCTTAACTGCTGACAGCATTGAAGAACCTTTTGCAAGCTCTGCTGCAATACATGAGGCCAAAGTGCAACCAGTACCATGGGTATTGCTCGTTTTTACTCGAGGCGAACGAAGTTCATGGAATTCCTCACCTATAAATAAGAAAATGGCATTGTTTAGTGAACAGTAACTACACAGAGACTTATCTTGAATTTAGAAAAACGAGAGCACAGTTGATTCTAATACGTCATCGTACCATCAAAATAAACATCTATTGAATCTGACGAGTCAGGAAGATCACCACCCTTGACAAGTACAAATCTGAATAGCAAATATACGATTTGGTCAACATTACACAATAATGGTCCTCGACCAAGCATGAACGGATCGGAACCAGCCCAACTAACAGAAACCAGAAGCCTAAAAGAAACTAGAACATGAAGCTACCATCGTAACCAAATATATGTCACGTAAAAAGTATCATAAGTATGGTGCTCTGCTTAGTTTTTTTTCTACAATAATTGGTCTAAATTTCCCAAACATGCCAGAATTTCAGTATCATCCACAAGAGATGGAGCTAGAAATTGATACTGTAGGTTGCAGAAAAATGAGAAAAGGTGCAAACCTAGGACCCATATCACGTATAAGCTTTGCTGCAGACCGCATGTCAGCTACTGTCTGAAGCTGCATGCCATCAAGTAAGGCAGATGCCTCTTTTAAGTTCGGGGTAATTATGTCAGCAATTGGCAGCAGCTTCTCTCTGCAATCAGTAACCATAATCAGCACGACAGATTCACTGAAGAATATCGAATGTTGGAAAGAGAACCAACAGTTACTGAAGTCGAAGTCGCATAAGTAGCAAGTTACAAATGCAAATCAATCTTTACCAAAAAGAAAAGAAAACCCATCATAAACAATATGGTCGGAGTACTGGTGCATATTTACCTCAAAGAGAGATAAAAGAAAGAAAGAAAGTAAGAAAGCATACCGAAAAATGGAGAGAATAGAAGGACCAGCAAGTATGTGCCCACTTGTAGATACCATGACAGGATCAACAACTAAAGCTGCCACCACAACAAATCAATGGTATTATTAGCTAAGGAAAGACACGCCGGATTTTGATAGAACAGTGAGTGGTTTTGTTGTATACCGCGAACGGGGGACTCTGAAAGATTTTGAAGAAGAACCTCGACGATCTCAGGGGATGGCAGCATACCAGTTTTCACCTGAGAAGAGTCCCATTTGAGCATCATAAGAGAACAATCGTTTTGCCTTGCATATCAAGAATTCAGTAACTCTCTATCACGAGTCCTTGTTTCGTCTGTCATTCAACCTCCACTTTACCAAGTTGGTAGAGCTATGAAATAATAAATATTGCCCCAAAATCAGCCCTCGTAAAGGCTTTCATCCCTGTTGCAAAACGTCACATACTTAAGCAAGATCAAGAATAATAACGAGGGCAAACTTACGACATCGATTTGGAAGTCCGAGAGGACAGATTTTAACTGGAGAGAAACGAAATGTGGAGGGAGAAGATGGATATCTTGAACTCCGTGAGTGTTCTGGGCGGTAACTGCCGTGATGACAGAGGCACAATACACACCTCGTGCCGCACAAGCTTTGAGGTCAGCCTGGATTCCCGCCCCTGCACCCGAGTCCGACCCAGCCACCGTCAGCACCTGGGCCGCCGCCTTTCTACTCTCCATTGTCATCGTGCATCTCCAAGACATGACAAGCCCAATGGTTAATACAAAACAAACGAATGCTGTCATGTGAGACACAGAGGATGAAAGCCCTTGCTTTTGGAAGAATTTCATGAAAACGGGTTCCTTCTGGCGTCTTAAAATTTCTGAACTGGAAATACCCTTAAGATAATAAGTGCATATTGTGATTACATTATTGGGTCAACATTGAAAAGAGTACCTGAGAGAACAGAGATCCTTCCCCTGAGACAGTGAACCGATACAAGAGACCTTCATTCATGAATGTTCAGACCCAAAGCAATTGATATGCAAACTAATTTCACTGCATAATTGAATAGAACCAATGATCAGTAGAGTGTTCACTTCCCCTGACTTCTCTGAGTGTTCAGCCCAAACCACAGAATTTAGCCGCTTTCTTATAAAGCTTTTTCAGCGAATTTTTTAATATTTAATTGGATAAAGCAGAGAAATTCTTGCTGTAATAAAAATATGGAGAAATTTCACCACATTGAAGCAAATTTTCTTGGTGAAGACTCTCCGGAGCTTCGGCGGTCGACGATGGCGATAGCGACGACGGAGATGTAGCAGCAGCAGCAGGAGGAGGAGGACAAGAGATTCTGAGGAGTTCCTGATATGTTTGGTGGGGGCATATAACGTGACGTCATTGCTCTTTCTCCTGAAATGGGCTTTGTCTGGGCCCTTCGTGGGTCCTTTACAAGCCCATATATCACTCGGAAGTCTCGAGCCGTTGTAAAATTTGATCATGCCTCAAAACGGAACGGTTAAGAAGATACTTCAGGTGCCTATTTCAAATTCGGTCCGGTTTGGATCGGATTTGGAAGAATAGAAATTATACGTAAACCGATTCCAATATTTTCAATTCAGCTTGGTCTTTATATAGTTTGATTCGGGTTTTTTTTTTTGTACTTTTATTGTGGTTAACTAGTTCTTTTTGGATTCTAAATAAATTTGGTTTCGAAAAATCCAAACCGAGTTGAACTAAGATCTAATTAGTTCGGTTCAAGCAAACCAAAAAACGAATGTACTCAGGAATCGCTTTTGCACAAAAAACGCGAAGGAACTAACACTGTTCATATGGCTGATTTATTTTCTTGTATTCAAATTTGTACAAAAGACGTTGCATATAAACAAAACGGCTAGTTGGAGTCAAGAATTAAGGGAATAAAATCACATCACATCACAGGAGCCTTCAACATCTCCCATATGCCATGGAATTAACAAAGATGATGACTGTGTTTAGGGTTTAGTATTTAACTTTAATGGTGTTCATACCTTCCAACGACTCCTTTTGTTCTAGTTTGGTTTGGTGTTTTGGTATTTTTGGGACCTTTATTGTCCATAATATGAAGGGTTAATGCTTATGATCATCGTCTGTCTTTCGACTTTTGTTTACAAGTACCAGAACAAAGTAACTCCATCATTAGCCTCTGGCTCTCTTCAACAAGAACCGCATCGAAAATATCCCAAGTGCAAAGGTTTGCCAAAACCACCCTGCTGCATTGTTTGGATCAACTCGTTTGGCCAGACGCCACGCGTATATCCCTTCCGCAGTGTGCAGTGCCACAGAGACGACACATACGATCCTTACCATAAGCATTGTCCTGAAGAAGAAGAGGTGGACGGCTCTTAGGAAGGGTACCGGTCCTATGTCGGGTAACCAGGCTGCAGCAAAGAGAGCTAACATTCCCGCCACGACAGAGAACCAAGTATATATGGTTGGACCGTCTAGAGATTTGCGTTTCCTCTCCTGCCAGTATGAGATGGTTGCCGCCATTCCTTCACGAGGGCTAACCATTGGGATGTAGCCTAGCTCTTCCTTGGCTTTGAGATATGAGAAATAATGGGTTACGCTGACCTGCACCAGAAAGATTTAAAAGAGTAGCTTTGATCTCAAGCGGAAAGTACGGTTTTAGCACATTCGGAAACTGTACCTTGTAGACTTCAGCAGGAAGCACAAGGGGCTGCGGTAGCCATTTCTTCGATAGCCATGGGTACAGGATGGTGTAAAAAGTTTGGAAGGCCTTACCCAAGAAAAGAGCAAAGGGTACAGATACCAGAAACTTGGGCAAATCATAGTCCAAACTTCTGAGCAGAGGACGTAGAAATTCAAAGCTATTCACCGGGGAGCCTACAGCGTAGTGAATTCAAAGCACCTGATAAGTGTTTTATACCTGACTCACCTGTTTGTTCCTTGTAATTGACAAAGATTTAGCACAGATGTTCTAAAGCTAAGTGTTTCACAAGTTCATGACACAGGGAATGATGTATGGTTTTACCATCAGAGACAAAGTATGGTTGACCAGCAGCTACAGGATCTCCTTCTTTGCCAGGAATGTTGTCCAAGAGTCCCATGCTTGCGAGAATGATTGCAAGGACAAGATTATCAATGTAGATCCAATCTGTTTTGACGCTCGAATCACCGGTCTTGAAAAGCAGCAAACCCAACTTCGCCAAAGATATTATCCTAGGAAGATGCCTCTCTTCACCCGGACCATATATAGCAGCCGGACGGATTGCACAGGTGTACAAACTCTTGCCCCCATTTCTATCCAGCATTTAGCAACACAGGAATAAGTTCAAATTAAGACATCGAAACATATTGGATGGTGCTTCCTCACCATCACCAAAACTAGAAATTCTTGAGATGGCATCAAAGATGAGATAATTATCCAGACAATAGGTACCGAAGGGAAATGGTTAAATTCTTTAGGTCAATTTATAGAATATCTCGGCACAACATTTGAGATGGTTAGAGAAATGGTTGCATTAGTGCTTGGATTCAATAGGAAGTTCAATAAATTTGACCAAGAACTTCCAGATTGAAGGGAAAACAATAAACGCATTGAAGGGATACTCACCAACACACGATTAATGAAAAGTACTTACTTAAATGGCCGGCCATTACTCTTAAGGACAAGCTGCTCCGCGATGGATTTACTTCGACCATACGCATCTACATGATCATCCATAGGGAAATATGGCAAAGCTTCATTCCCATTCTTAATCTCCTTACCACCAAAGACAACGTTGTAAGTGCTCACATACACGAGTCTTCTGACCTCATGTTTGAAGCAAGCCTCCAATACATTACAAGTACCATTAATGTTCACTTCATCGGTGCGACCAAACTGGAGCATCTCTTTCCC